AAATTTATTAAATCTTACGGTTTTGATTTTTTTAAAACAATTATCCAATATATGATTGTTAATGTATAAAAAATAATGGAAAGAATCCAGACTTTAAAGTAAAGATATTTTTCAAAATCATCCAAATATTTTTAATTTCAAAGAAGCTTAGAAAGTTTGTTAATGAGATAAAGCAAGTTATACAAATGATTAGTTAGTTAAAATATTATATTAATTATATCTTAAGAAATCCGGTTATATAAATGTGGATAAATTTTTTTTATACTAATTACATTGTTAGAAATGTAATTCTATGAAAGTTAAGATAAAATGAAATGTAACCAAAAAATATATTCGTAATCTTTTCCTTTTTTGAATTTAAAAATCTAATAACCAATTTAAGATGATATCACATAATAAAAAGATAAATATTAATGTTTATGAATATATTTAAAATTCTATTTTGAATTTCAAATAGGTAAAAGACAGAATAATTCAAATTTGCTTTCAAAAAGTTTTGGAAGTATTCTGGTAAGTATACCTGTAAGAATAATCTTACTATTTTAAGATAATAAACATTTATTAAAGAGATAAATCAATAATACTTATCACTTAGATAATAAATAATAAACATTTACACGTAAAAAAAAATACATAATAATATATTTAAAAATATAACTTAGAATTTCAAATAAAGTAAAAGGAGGGATAACTCTTTTTTTTCTACAAAGTTTCTAAATGTTTAATATATTGGTAAGTATCTCCGCAGGAATAATCATACAATTTTAATTTCAAAAAGCATTGGCAATTTGTTAGAGAGATAAATCCGGTTAGATAAATGATTAATTAGTGATATCATAAAAACACATTTAGATAATGTAGATAAAAAATATAATATTAATTAGTTTGTTAGGAATGTGAGTATATGAAAATCAAGATAAAATGAAATTTACCCAAAAATCTGTTTGTGATATTTTCTTCTAAATGTTTGAATCTAAAAATCTAATAACCAATTTAGATTATATCACGTAAAAAAAAAATAATAATAAACATGTATTAAAGAGATAAATCAATAATATATATCACTTAGATAAATATTATTAACAATATCCTAGTGTGGTATTTATGCGGAGAAATTCTATGGAGCCACATGTGGCACGTGTTATGGTGCCACAATATGATGTGACACATTATGATTGGTGCCACAACATGATGTGTGATAGTTGTGGCACCAATCATAATGTGCCACATCATGTTGTGACACTATAATATGGTGCCACATGTGACACCATAGAATTTCTGATCTATGCGATGCACAAGTTAGCAATATGAAGGAAAACATTTTAATTTGGATAATTGGATCATTGTTGAAAACATAAAACACATTTAATGGAATAAAAAAATGTTATTTATATTATTAAACACAACATTATTTGTTTAAGTTTTTTTTTTTTTTTCTA